CACACACACACACACACACACACACACACACACACACACACACACACGCGCACACACACGCGCACACACACGCGCACACACAAAAAACATTTGAAGGATTCAGATAAACTTCCCATCAAAGACCTCACATGATTACATAAGAAAAGCTGTGGAGCAAAGTGACTTAAGACAACTTGCATTCCTGGAAAACCAAAAGTTAAGACCGACTATGAAAACTATACAACTGCTTGGATATTTTAATGGTAACTTTACATATTCCATGTCTTGCTGATAAGGATTGTGTTTTGCCTAAATGAAGTGATATATACAGCACACGTAACGGTCACTCACCACAACAGTGACTCCATCGTGCACCAGGGAAGAAGAGGCATATAGACTGGTGGAGTATTTACCCACATACAAAGTGGCCCTGGAGAAGGAGAAGGCGCTCAGTCAAACCATATACAGTACTTATTTCATGATAAATAGAGAGAATCGGATCTTGGAGAAGACATCTGGAGTGTATTTACAGGTTCAAAGTGGAGAAGAGTTCTCCATCATCTCCCTAAACAGGCGAAACTTTCACAGCGTCTTAACCACTGAAAGCCCTGTTTGTCCTTTCCAGCTGAAGCAGGTGTGAACACAATATATCAAAATAAAACAGTACTGCAGTGTGAAACCACAGCTATAACCAGGCCCAGCAGCACATATGACATTTTTAGACATCCCAACATTAAGCAATTGCACATCTTACAAAAGAACGTCTTGATTTCTAGTCTTTCATTAAGTTAGGTCCCTATGACTGACGGACGCTTTAAAACAGAGGAAGACATCTATTCTTTAAAAAGTAGTAACAATCGCAGGAATGGTTACTTTCAGTCCGCTTACATGAACTTGTTCTTGGGCTTAGTCTCTTTGGGGAACGGGTATTTCCACTGAGTGATGCGGCCAACCTCTCCAGACATGAAAGTGAGGTAACGCAGGGTTTCCACAGCCACATTGGTGTGGGGAACTTTGCGGAGACCCTCGCGCTGCCAGATATACATGGCCACCACCGGAGAGCTGTAGTTCTGCACCCACTGGACGTCTCCCGATTCACTGTCCACGGTCACCACGAGGCCGTCACTGTTGGACACAAAATGAGCCACCTCTGTGGGGAAGCACAGAGCGGACAAGTGATTAGCCCCGTCTGCCAGAAACTAAACAAAAAGGAGCCAGCGTGTCCGAGAGTCTTACTGTATTTGGTTTCATCATCAGGAAGGGTGGAGGCGTAGTCGGAATAGGTGGCATTCCAGCGCAACTCTCTGCTCTTGGTGTCATACATGGTGATGGTGTACTCTAACAAGGAAGTGAACAACAAGAGCTTATTCACAATAGGGAAAAAACACATTGTGTTGCTTTCCTTGTGTGTCTCTCACTCTCTCTCACTCACTCACTCACACACCTGGGTGTAAATGCAAAGTAGTGTTGAATTTCCTTTGTATCAAAAAATTGATATTGTAGAGACACGGTGAAACAAAATCCTGCAGATGCGTTGTTTAGTGACTTGACACCAAGTTGAGGATGGATTTATAGGATCAAGTATTCAATTTGCAGGGCTCAGGTGCTCTAGGCTCTCGTCTACAATTACCATATCAGGGATAGAGAGGGGGGGAATAGCAGCAGAGATGGTAAATAAGGGTTTGCCGACAGTTTGAGATCAGAGCACGCAAAAAAAATAGGCCTGTTGATGAGCCAGTTTAAAAACAACAACTAAATGGGATGGGCTGCAAAGATAATCTGACTAAGACGAGGCTTGCCAATTTAGGGGAAAACAAATAGCTGAACTCTTACCTGTGCGTCCCAGATAGAGAAGAGATGAAGACGGACACAGCATCTCAGCAAAGGAGGAAGTCAGAGTCTGCTGCTTCTCTCCAGTCAACAGGTCCACCACATACCACAGGTCCTGCTTCTTACCTGCACACGAGCACGCACACGAGCACGCACACGAGCACACACACACACACACACACATTGATTACAGCATTCAGACTGCATTTCATATTTACTTAAATAGTATGTTCTGTAGTTGATTTACTAAAGACTGTCATTCTGTCTATAAATTGTAATTTTATTACTCCTACTTTTGTCTGCGCTTTAATGTGACACATATTGTCTGTCCACCCTGAAGAGGACTGATCTTTCTGAGGTTTCTCTCCATTTTGCTTTTAAAATGGCTTTTTGTCCAAATCAAGGGTCCGATTATAAAAGAATCAAAACACCTTGAGTCATATTTGTGATGTTTGCTTCTCTAAGGAAAACTGAATTGATCATGTGCAGGAAATTGCCAAATTGACCAAAAGGTGAACCCGTGCAAGTCAAGCCAAGCAGAATAACATGCAGCCATTTAACCTTCCCAGTGACGGGTGACACCATCATTAAAGGACCAACCCATCATGGCCTCTTTGTACCAGCACCTCACCCTTTTTTGTCAATGCAGTGAGTGATATTAATAACTTAATCATAGTTATAGAGGGATGCAAACATCCAATAGATGGAGGATGGTTTGCACTGATAGTTCCTACAAACTCTACCGAGCAAAAATCTCATTCATCTGTACATGTATGAAATTTAAAGAGTGAGAATTTGAGGCCGAGACCTTTGCATCTCTAATATTCTTTGTTGCAGCAGCAGCTTCAGTTGAATGCAAACAAAAGCTTCACTGATGAGGTCTGTAGAGAATCATCTGTGTGCCAAATGTCACCCGCTTCCCTTTGAACAATGACACACAGTCACTACGGCAGATTAGCACCTTCCCTCTGTTAGCCGTTGTAAATTCAAACGAGCACAAGCTGCGACCTCTGGTTGAGTGGAACCGAAAGGTGCTGGAAGGTATCCAGATTAAAAACCCGCTCATTTAGGGGAGTGGACACAGACTGCACACGGTTATGAATAACAAGACCACAGAACAATGTGTTGAATCAAAAGACACGATATCATTTATTTTTATTTTAATTAGCCTTACCCATGTAAAGGACACCATCAGAGCTGCGGCAGGGAGATGCTTGGACCAACTCGGGGATAGTGAACGGTAATTTCTGTTTGATCAAAATGCACATTAGTCAGCAATAACATGTGTGTCCTGTGACATGAGATGGGAGACACCATTCATACACCATTCATGCACCACCACAGTTGGAACTTCAGAATGAGGGCGCATTACTTTCAGCATGACTTGTACACGCACGCACGCACGCACGCACGCACGCGTGGTGAGAGGACATGTTTTTCTGTAGAATAGGGAACTGAACAGTGCGTTTCTCACAAGAGAAGGGAGCTTATAGTTTGTGATAATAAAGTGTTTCCTCTTACTGTGAGGCCTTCCTTGTTCTTTCCTCCCAGAGAGTACAGGCTGCCATCGTTGGGGTCCGGCAGAAAGGCTGGTCTGGAGGAAAGATTGAAGGAGATGCATCACATCTCCAGAGCAGTAAAGGGAGTGACCTGATAAAAAAAGCTCAACGTGTCGCCATAATAATTTGCATTCATCATCTTTTGTTACAGACGGGTGCAGTACACAAGCTGCTAAAGATACGTACTCGGCCACATGTGTGGGGACCTGAAGAACTGGATCTGTGAGGAGAGAGAAGGAGACACAAGTCAGGACTGACAGGAATATCAAGCAACAACAGAGGCGGTGGCTAGATACAAATTGCCCTAAGACGGATTGGCCTCGGGAAAACATGAAGAGGAAACTGGCATGTCTGCCAACAGCTTTCTGCATGAAGTCAAGCATGGAAAACCCCAAAAAAAAAAAGATTATTTAATGAGCTCATATCCTCTAAAAAGGTTCTAGAACATATTAACCCGTCTCTACCAAATATCTAACGGACTGATTAGAGTAGCAGGTTACTCAAGGAAACAGATTTTACTCTTAAGACCTTTTCACCACAAATGGCAAACTTTATTACTCCTTTCCACCTCGACTAAAGTTGAGTATTTTGCATTTTCCCCTGGTGTGTAAAGGCCTTTACTCTGGTACGGTTAAAAACTCACTGTATTTAAATACTGGAAATAAAAGGTAAAAATGATGCGTTCTCCTCCCTGAAACACCTCCCAGGGACGGGTGCTTAAAAAAGGACCACATCATGTTTAAGCCCATTTAGATTCATTTCATACATTTTACATTAGTGCCTAACATTCAAGTATCCAATAATGTGTCCAACCTTCTGGGCAGCTATTATCCGATATAGTATATTTATATAATAGATGATTACAAACTAATTAAATATATCTATTTAAAAACATGGTCAGCAATAATGTAGATGGTTAAAACGGTACAATAGTGCGAGGCCCTAAACTCCATTGTTACTAGACAAACACACACCTCCCTCCAGTGTGAACATACAGGGCGTAGACCAGATGGTGCTGATCTCTGCAGAGGTGCCTGAAGGGGTCAACAGTAGCAGGCGGGGGGGGGGCCAACCTGAAGGTGGTAGTTGACTCTTGTGCTCAAGTTTTTGCTTTGTGTGATTGCAGAACGTGGTGAGAAAGACACGGTTTTCATGGAAGTGAGCAAACCTTCGCCGGCTGATATACAAACGCATGTTTGCGAGGCCGAACGGGGGAGGGGGGGGGGGGGGGGGGGCAAAAAGGGGGGGGGGGGGGGGGGGGGGGGGGGGGGGGGGGGGCTGAGCAAACAGTGAGAGGACGTGCACGTGTGCTGAGGTGAACCGCCTGCTTCTCCCTCATTCTGTGAGTGCACCGCCGCCCTGACTGGAGCACAACAACAGGTGTGTGCTGAGCCCGGTACAGGACTGGTCCAATTTATATTCAATAGCTCTCCCAGGCACAGATGGTGCGGAGGAAGCAGCCACTGCCTCTGATTATTAATGACTTGGGACGTCACCAGGACATGTGGGTTCACACAACAGCAGTTTTAATATCGCATAAAATCTCGTGTCTGTGAAAGTCTTAAATTATCTCTTATTCTAAGAAAGATAAACTACTCAAAACAGCAAGTTTTCCAGTAACCCTTCAGTGCATCTAGTGTCAGTGTATAGTGGCTGCATTAACATGGTAACCATAGTGCATGCTGTGTGTGTGCAGGTGACTCTACAGCAGAGTGGCTTACCCTTACCCACTCCAACCTTGATTAGAGGCTATTTCTGCCCCTCTCTGTTAATTATTAGCCAGTTTCCATGCCAAACAGAACATCCAACAGCATTTAACCCAAGGAAACATTTCAAAAAATTCAACAATACAAATAAAAGAAGCCCGATTAGTGTTTCTTCACCAAATTAATTAAGTATTATTTTAGATCTACAGGCCTGTTTTACTCCCACAGAGTAGTAATGATTCAAGTTAAATTATTTTTTTACAATTAGGAGTAATGCATTCAAATATTTGGGTTAGAATTCTGCTGCCGATTCCCCTTTTTGTTCACATTAAGATCACAAAGAATACTTTTAAATTAAATCAATAGACCAAATAAGATAACAATAAAAAACCAAGTGGCACAGCCTTGATGTGGCATCACATGTGGCCCTCACTTATTTCAATTATTTAATAAAATATATTAAAAGTCACCATCGCTTCATTGTGGTTCAAAAAGCAGCAACGAGATCTCATTGTTCTCTCTGCGGCAACACAACAACAGCACTTTTGTTTTTGCTAATGTAGCCTGAATAATACTGCGTCTGGAGAGAGAGAGACACATACGAGGAAAAGTTACTCCCGTCCTCTCGTCTTACCTTCCTTCAGAGTCCATTTGATGGAGCCGGATTTCTTGCTGACAGCGTGCAGGTTTCCGTCCAGCGTGGACACAAAGAGCAGGCTTTCAGGGAGGGAAACTGTGCTGGCGCTGCAGAACCCCTACAGAAACCAAAACACAACAGAAAATCAAGGCCACGTCCTAAACAAAAACACATCTCTGTTCATTTATAATGCGAAGGAATCAAAGTGATAACGTATCAAACGCAGACATTATCAGGCGGCCGTGTGTGAACATGCGTACCCCCACTTTAAGCCCACGGCTGAGGTGGAAACGGGTGCCTCTGCATTGAGGTTGTGAATAATGACTTCAGCCACTAATCACTCATTACTTATCCACACACACACACACACACACACGCACACACACCATGTGAAATGTGGCAGACGTTACAGCCCGGGGCCTTGTTTTCACCATCGCCCCGGTACAGTCAGCGTTGTGCTGGAGGTGGTTGGGGTGTTGGGTTGCCCCGTGGCAGCTTGGTCTGCTCGACAAATCAATGAACTTCAAATCAATACCGTACAATGACGGCTGAAGAGCAAACCAGGAGGGCGCCGACTAGAGAGGTAACAGAGGGCACGCTGCCAAGGGTTCAAAGTAACAGCCGGAGCAACACGGAGCAAGGTAAACAAACTGGGCGTGAGCACGTTCTCAACTTCAGCATTACACTCGTGCTCCCACCCAGCATGCCTTATAAGGTTGACTGGGCTTCTTTTTAAAAAAAAAACAAAAAAAAAAAAAACAGATTTCACAATTAACTGAGTGAAGAGCGTGTTTCAACTTCTCCCTGCACAGATGAACAGTGGGCTGACGGGCCATACGGGAAGTCTTCTTACCAGAATCTTTTACTCCCACTCAGAAGTATGGGGCGACATGAACAGACGTGGGAACACTTGGATTGGTTCGCCACACGATGAAAAGTAGACACGGTGACCAAAAGGGGGCAATACGATGACAAAGAGAAAACAAAACAAAAAAGATGCAGAACATCCGGTGGAGACAATCGAACCAATAAACCAGCAGCGGAGCGATGCGGCCTCATGACTCGGCTTACGCCAGAATTAACCGTACTGTGGGTGATGTGTGCACCGCTCACCCACTATGGAATTCTAAAAATGCCGCTCTTGATAACCACGCCGTGGGCTGCTTTTGGCACCAACGTGAAGGAAGAGGTCCAGTGGGGGGGAGGGGGGGGGTGAGCCTGCCAAACTAGAGGAGCCTGTATGACCTCACCCTGACCAGTCTCTGTACACATGATCTTTCTCAACTGAACAAGGCAAACTGTATTAATTGATTTCTTACCGACTTGTTATAGGACAAAGTTCATCAGCACTTCTCAGTTCAGGTCAGACTTGGGAATGCCACTTAATCTGCCACCTTTAAAAAGCAGGAGTCTTGGAAAAGCTGAGCAGACAAACCTCATTCTTCTACTGAACCACAGGAGCATTGATCAACATCGCCGACTAATCCCCTTGAACAGCTCCCTGGGGGCAGTGCAAAGAGCAGATTATCAATTAGATCATGTTATGTGGGGGGGTTGAAGTGCTTTGAAAATCAGACAGAAGCAAACCACACCAACAGGTTGTTTCTTTTGTTCGCAGCTTCTATTTCCTTGCCCAGTGCACAACAATGGCTTTCTCCCTGTGCATGCTTCAGCTTCTTCTTCAGTCATAACGGCCCAAAACAGAAACCATGGCCAACACAACCCAATAAACTGAAAGTGCTGCACTCTCTACGAATGGAAACTGGGTTCTCATCCACATTTGCCTCCCGGTCGCCGGCTGTAGTCTCACATCCTTTAACAAGCATTTGTGTCAATATTGTGCACCTGTGACTGTTCCCACTGGGCTGCTGCAAACTCTCAAGCATCACACACACACACACACACACACACACACACACACACACACACACGCGCACACACACACACACACACACACACACACACACACACACACACACACACACACACACGCACACACAACTGTACTGGGAGAATCATAACCAACTTGTTTTTGGGCCCCCCCAGTGATCTCCATCAGGGTTCTCGGTTTCGCAAGCAAATAACATCTTAACATCTGTTCGCCTCCTCGTTTTGGATGGACACCGATATTCAGCAACTGTTGAATATTCTTCAGATTTAGACTTCGTGGACATCAGGTTTACAGCGCGAGTTATAAAGCTTAAAAAAAATGAGTCTTTCTCTCTTATTTCCTCACAGAAATGTTAAAGTTGTTGCGCAAGCGAGTTACATAATACTACAGAACCGGGAAGAAACCAACATCTTGGCAGGTTGTGATGTCTTCACTTTCTCCTCTTCAATGAAGAGGCATGACTTAACGACTACACATATCACTGGTAGCAGACTGGATGTCACTCTGATTCACAGACCAAACTGGCAGCTTTCCCACAAGCCATTTAGTAGTACAACCTGCACGATGACCCCTTTATAGGATACTCTCATCTCTTCAAGATGGTGAAGTGTTACATCACCAACCAATAGTTTGAGAAGAAAGAGAATTGCTCGGGTAAAGACAAAGAGTCAGACAGACAGAGGTCTCTTTTTATAGGAGAAAGACTGGACGCATGTAGGAGACACACAGAGGGAGGGGACGACTCAAGTATGTACAGCATCCAGTGTCCTCCTATCACAGCTGCCCTACATCCTGAAAGAAAAGAAGCTTCTCGAGTGTCACTTTTCGCATGCATCAACATCGTATGACAGCGTAACATTTTCAGACAGTGACTCTGGGCGGCTGCTTACAGCACGGCCCACTCTTTAAAGGTTTGTGACTGCCACAAACAAGCGACAGGCGACAAAATAATGGTGGTGCTCCACAAGCAACAATTGTGTGGCTGAACAAAGATATTCTTTTGTCCTCTGACTCAGGCTTTTATGTGCTCATTTAAAAGATGCATGCAGGAGAAAAGAGGCTGAAACACCAGAGAATGTCATGAGTCAGTTTTCAAATTATAAGGAAATCAATTGGTTATTAATATCCGACATTCAAATGAGTTCATCGAGTGATCATATGGGCCCTAAAATGCTTCACTACAGGTTGTCTTTGAGAGACAAAAACTCAGATTTGTAGGTAAGACTATTACTAAAAAAGACATCTTCTAGTCTGAGCTCTCCATTAATTAGGACTAAACTACACGTCACTGTTTTTCTGCTGAAAAGTGGAACACTCCCACCACAAGTGTGTCTGCAGCAATGAGCAGTCTGTTTGCAGCTTGCTCGGGTGCAGACGAAAACCAACACAGGAACCAAGAAATCCTTATCTCTCACCTTTAACTCGTCATGGGAGGTGTTGTGCAAAAAGAACACGCAAGTGATCAGAAATAGGAGTCAATTAAGAAACGTCCATAAAAGTATGGTAACTAGGAGCTTCAGGTTTCCCTTCGGGGCTGTATGAAGATGACACAGGCGAGGAGATTAAGCCGCGGGGAGATGACATTTAAGAATATAGTGGAGATGACTTTTTAAAGCAACCTTCTTTGTCAACACAGTGTATCAGCTGCAGTGGGGACGGATGTCACGTGTTCAGGCACACTCAATCTACAGACGTGATAAGATAGTAGAAGATCACAACCTATTCTATGAGCATAATGTGAGAAGAAGCACTAAAAAATAAACTAGACTTGAGTAATAACTGCAGAAACATTGAGCTAGATTTTAGTCACAAACACCCCTCCTTTCATTTGTATCTCTCGCCATCTCACACACACACACACACACACACACACACACACACACACACACACACGTCTATAGATAGCCATCATCCTTTGTTACCCTTACTACATAACCAGACTCCCTTACCAGGCTAAGAAGAACCCGAGACATGATATGGGATTATACGGCTTCTTTAATCTGCTTCTTAGTCAAAGTGGTTTACTAGCTTGGTAGCTAGGGTCTCTGCCTGGAGACCTTTAAGGGATCCGGTTCAGTTTAGTTAGCTGGCTCTCATTTGTGCCTGCTACTAATACTACGGATCCCGTTCTCTGTTTACAAATTCCTTCGGTAAGAACTAAACTCACTGCATCGGTCCCGCTAGCTTCAGATGGCTGCAGAGATCCAATGAACTGATGGGGAAGGCTTCCTTCAAACTGTACCTCAGCACATAAGACATGTGTTTTTCTTGCATTAAGCTTCTATTTTTACTTTTTGATCTAAATGCGTCTTCTGTTTGGAGTGGCTATGTCAAGTATTTACGTCTACAGACATCTATTGGCGAGGTCCAATGTCAAAGACCCCAATCAGCTCATCTGTATGACCCAAAATACTGACTGATGCGTTGTAAGGTCGCTGCTGATGTGCAAGCAAAGGACTTGTGTTCAATCTTGTGAAAAGATAAGAAGAGTAAACATGCAAGTAGTAGAAACAATAGCAAGCCTTAACCACATTGACACAATGACAGTGGTGTACGTTTCAACAGAAGTCTTTTTGTTAAATTGAATAGTTTGCTAATGTGATTCTGAGATACTTGAGGAGAGTTGGTGGCATGCAAATAATTAAGGTTGGGGAGAGTTTAGCTTTAAAGCAATACAAACACACGTGTAGACACAGCAAAGTCTCATTGTACACTAATAGAGAGATCTCTGGAAGTTTCTCTGACAGCAGATGGAGATCTGATGTTCATGCTCTGAAAGGTTTCCTTGATTTGTGACACTGGAATAATCAATTAGAGATGGTCTGACGCTCATGATGTAATGGTGGTTAAGTCAATTTTAGGCTTCCACAAATACATTATTTTTTAAATAGTGCTTTTAGCCAGCAAGCTAGCGTTGAAGTTAGCTTCCTTGCATCTTATCAAGACACCACGCGGTACAGAGACATGATTAAAAAGGTTCACAGAATGACATATTTAAGTCAGAATAAGTAAAAACAATCCGCCTGAAGTTGAGTGAAAAGTGTAGTTTAACGAGCAACTCCGAGCTAATGTCATCTAACTTGAGCTAGCTTATCCAGTTAGCCTCTCCTACCTTTTGTGGGAGACCGGCGCAGCAAAGCAACGAAAACAAAAAGCTCCACAACAGGGCCCGACTGCTCACGGTCCAGTCCATGTTGTCTGGTCTCACACCGGGACAGACAGCTGGTCCTCACGGCCGTTGACTACATAGAAAAACTGTTTTTTTTGGGGGGGGGGGGGGGGGGCTCACAACCAGACACGTTACGAAATTATGTTTAAATCAGCGCTGTAACGGTAGAGCCAGCAAAGCGGCGGAACACAACGCTGGATCCGCTTCTTCCTGAAGTGAGAAGCGTGGGGGCTGGACTTTGGGATAGATATCCACGCGAGTGGAGGAGGGGAGACGAGGAGTCGGCGTGAGCCAATCATAACAGACCTACAGACCCGGATGTGATATAAAGTAGATCCGGGGGGCATTTTCTGCAGAGAACCACTCCTATGAGAGCATGCTGTCGCCAGTCCGACCGGACACATTTGCATCTAACATGGATAGGAAAAGCTTATCGACGTTTATATTTTTGAGTTGTTATAATGATACTTGACGGAAGTCTGCAGGAAAAAAAAAAAGACTCCCAATTTGATCGCATCATGGTGCATTTTTGGAGCGGTGACTAGGCCTCATCTGCGTGGAAATATGGTAAAATTTTATTTTCTACAATGTTAAAATGGCAAATATAACTAAATATGTATATATTAGTTACAGTGTGCTGTGCCGTCATCAGGACCGGTGGTGAACTTGGATCCATGCGGTGGTTTTGAGGTGATTGGACATCCACACGTGGCCGGAGGAGGGTGGCGTGCTTTCGGATGGAGGCCCTCCATGACTCTATGACGGTGAGTGTTTCTGTGATTTAGTTTGTTTGTTTTCATGAATGATGATTTAAGTGCGTTAGACTTATGTGAAGATGAAGTCAATATACTCTATCTGACATGACCCACAAACACCAGTCGTGTGTGTGTATTTTTCAAAAATCATGTTCACCGAGATATTTTATATTTACAGGAAAATGGGGTTTGGTGTGGATGAATCCCTGCAGTAGCAACATGGTAAGTACCTTGAGTCATCAGAAAGTGGATTGTAACTGTTATGAATGATGATTCTCATGCGTTAGACTTCTGATTTAATGACGACAATATAAATCTGACATAACCCACAAAGTTTTTAATGGATGGTGTTTCAATAACCGAGCTCACTAAAAGTTGTTTTCTTCTGCAGCTATCTGACCCTCAATAAGTGGACAAGCTTCTGTAAACTACAAGGTGACACCAGAACTCAAAAATGAACATGCGTTTTTTTTTTTTGTTTTTTTTTTTTAAACTGAGACTTAAAAATATGTTTAACTGTTGGAGCACAAGTTCCCGTTTTGAATAAAACATTTATCAAAAAGCAGTCTTGTCATTTGTTTCATTTCATATTTTGTAAATTGATTTTAGGCACTACCTTCAACCCGAGTGGCCTTTTCCTTGGCCATTCACACAGGTGAGGAGCAGTGCTAGAGCATGTCATGTCCTGTTATAACTGGGGTTTCTTGGCAATTTTCCCAGGTCTCTCTTTTAACGCAGGACAGACTCTTCAGAGAGAACTTTTAAGTGCAAAAAAATGCATAGATATATGAAATAAGAAAGTTGAAGGATTTGGTTGTTTTTTTTTGTTTTTTTTTAAATAAATGTGCAGCTGACAAGTTGTTAGTCCCTGTTGACTTTCATTATGACTATATGATGTATAGCGTGATGGGATAAGGGGGTTTTAATAACTGCATGCATGTGAAAGTGACAAATCTAGCTATTTATTGGCCAATATTTAACAAGGGCTGCAACAATAAGTACATTTATATTTAGCTCGCAACTATTTTGATAAATTCAGAATTTTTGTCTAAGCTTTTCTAATGTGATAAATTGCTGCTTCTGTTAAGTTAAACCATGTAGATTTTTACACCAATAAAATGATTTGATTAAAAAATAAATCGCCAGAATGATTGATGGAAATGCTCCTTGCAGGTCTAAACATAAATCCATTATATAACGTAAAGCACTCTGATAAACATGGATGCCTTCTGAGAATATCCTTGTCACAAGCACAAAGCCACACAAACACTGTCCAAGCAAAAGGTTTTATTGATCCACAACGATCAGAACATTCTGTGACATCACTGAACACAACAGCAACGTTTGATATTTTCATCACTGCAAATGAACAACACTGAAACCTGTGAAAACAAAGGGCACGTCTTGACAGACACAGTAATGGCACAAACACTTTCTATCCTCGACTGATGCAACAGATGTGGTGGCACTACGGAGGAATGTTTATTTTAAAAGGCACTTTCTGCCTCATACACTTTGCCAACACACACGCATGAATGTAAAATAATAGTCGCCTGTAAAGCAGCCGGGCGTCTTGGCAGATTACAAAGTTGCTGTTCTAGTTTAATGTTATTCCTCTTCAATGTGTACAGTACAGAAAGAAAACCGATGAATAATTCAACAACAAAGAGCATTCATTAGCTGGATGTATTCTGGCAGCATTAAATAATATGGCTAATATCCAGTATGTTTATTCAAATAAAACAGGAAGGGTGGGTGTGTTTCTCCACCCTTTACACACACAAAAATAGTTTTGTGTGTAACTGTATTCTCAAAAGGGTTTCAGTCTCCTGCTGCCAAAACTTTCGGCTGCCCATCACTGGAGTGGCCGCAACAGGAACACAAGATAATCATCCGATTGCTTATTTGTCACCATTCACCTCATACAGCAGCCGACAGACAGGACTGAAAGATTGCTTTGGCAATAAAAACAGAAAATTATTACTTTTGCTCAGCTCTAAATATAACATGAAGAGAAGTCTTGAAGCATGTTGAGTAGAAGCACGTCGTCAGTGAATGAATGATTCCTTGCACAGCGAGGGAGCTGCATTCCTATTTTTACATTCATCAGACCTAGGTAATGTTCAGCTGCTGTGTTCGCAGATATGTTGTAATTCGCCCCTCTAACGTCAGATTTAGCTCTAATCTCGACTACACGGTTAAAAGCACACAGGCTGTACGTTACGACGGTGTCCATAGCGGATTCAAACTGACCAAGTGTCTTCGATGGACACAGTGCCATTGATCTGTTTGCATAAAGGTGCCGGGCGACTGGCACAGGCAGCGGTGTGGATGGGTGACCAATGAGTTAATATCCCTGTGAAATGTGTGTCAATAGATGCAGGGGCTTTCAGCAAAACCATCGCCAAAATTTTAGGAATTATTCCCTCAAAAGATTAGAAACGGTCACCGAAAAACGTACACTCTGCAAATGTTTGGTGCGGCTGTACATCACAGGTATTATGGTTCTTCTGGTTGAATCTGATGGCTGTTTGTCGATCCACCACCACACACACACATTCGTTAAACGGTCTCGACATGCCCCATGTATTGTATTTCATCAGAGGATGAATCATAACATTGATGTCACACAAATAAAGCTGTGCCATTGGATGACAATCTATAAGTCACAATTTTCTTCCGTTTTCCTGCTTTTGGTTGCCACAGATGATTACGAGCTTGCCAACACATCCGGTCTTGTGAATGCACTTCACCGGTGGTGCAACAGTGGGACTGGAACATGGGTAAAAAGATTGGAGAGTTGGTCCGGCACGTTGCTGCACCCGAGGGTCTCTGAGAGGGGTGGGGACTTGTCACATTACAATGGCGATAAGATGTCCACTTTGACAGCAGTCTTCACATGTCAGAGACCTCAGACTCTTCGGGCTCTGGGTCCTTCAAGGCATCATTTGTCACAGTAACCAAGTTGGCATTTGAACGCGTGTCCATGGCAGAGTGCATTATGGGTAGCCATACATCATCCATGTTTGGCATCACAAATATTTTCTGTGGGAGGACAAGCACAGTAACAAAGCAAAGTCATCTTAATTCAAACAATAAAACCACAGTATTCCTCTTCAAAAAGCTATCGGTCTAGTGAAGCGAACGGCGCAGAAACTACAAATTAATATACTTTAGTCACTAAAAATATAAACCAAAGAAAGACATTGGCATGAGAGTATATCTGCTTACAAGAATTGGAGAAAAACAGACCTGAAATACATCGTCCCACATGTATCCAACCCTGCACTCTTATGTCTGGGAACCCATGAGGCCCGAGTTTCGGCATTTGTTGAAAGCTAGATGTATACACTCACTCACAAATGACAACAGTGAGCGCTGCAGCACTGTATTTTACTGGAGGAATGGTTTAGGGGGATGGTACATAATAATAACCCCCAGAGGAGTCTGGCAGGGATAAATGTGTGGTAGACCTGACAGGGATAGCTTGCAGGTGTACCTCATGGCAGTTATCTAGAGGCAGGCGTATCATTACTTTGGAAATATGAGGGTTAGCAAAGCCACTGCTTTGAAGTGCATGTAGGTGACCAGCCATAAATTAATCCCAAAGTCCTCTTTTATTACCTAAATTCTCTCCCTAAACAGCTTAGCACATCGTCCTTGAGTGAACCTTCAGCCTCTCAGTCAGGCAGCGGAGGTTTTTAAACCACACAGAAGTTAATAAACGCCATGAAATATGACATCACTTACTTAAATAAATCAACGATGTAAAGAAATGATATTCGTGACTAAGCATTTGCATCTTTTTCTCAGTGTTTACCTGGAATTCCTGGTCCAGTTTCTTCTCAATCCAGTCCGTCACATGAACTAAAGTGACCTCCCTCTCGCCGAGTTTGGGTCGTGCTTTCAGCTCTAAGTGAGGCGGACTCCGGAAACCATACCTGACAGCCAAGAGGAAACATTCATGTCAACAAATTACATCATCTCACTCAAGCTGAATAGCAGTCCGCATTCTCAGACAGGCGACACGAAGGCAGGCATCTTTGGATTATTCTACTAAATTCAACACATTGAGGAAATGTGTGACATAAATTAAGATCAGGATGATGATGTAGATCAGTGGTTTCCCAACCTTTTTGGCTTGTGACCCCTTAAAATGAGGCCGAGTCTATTTCTGACCCCTCATCATAGATCATGGCCTCAGTGTGTAAATGAGTTTGGAGCAGTTTAGCCAAAGAGTGATTTTTCACATCTAGGATTAGTTCATTTGAAGGATTTTTAGAAGCCGAAGGAGGTGAAAGTATCAGAAATAGGGAAAAAAATGCAGATATAATTTTGTGTAACAGAAATATATGTTTTCTTTCTTATTCTTTTACTCATGTGGGGACCCCTCAGACTGACTGAGTAAACCACGGCTGATGAAGAGGATCATTATGATTTTCTACTAAGATAGTAATTATAATTAAGCTTATAAAGCACACAGTGTGTACTTAACGGTGTGACATTGCACATCTTTAATACAAATACACACCTGTGTGCCCTCATTGTAAATATTAAGTATACTTAGTTTAATAGTGATTAAACATTTTATATTCTTTCTTTGCATGCATGTCTGTATTTGCCCAGCAGAGGGCGTTGAGTTACATTCTCAAACCACGATTGGCTGTAAACTAACTGACTACATCCTACAGTCTTCAATGCACTCCTCCCTGGAAGTGAACATACCACATCCTGTCTGTGGGGGGAGGTGGGATGTTGACAGCCAGCGTCCCTCGCAACTCTTGCACCTCCACGGTGAGCAGCAGGGGCGTGTTGGACACCTCCTCCATCTTCTTCTTGATGAACTCCGTCTCGGTGGCTTTCTGGAAGTACTTCGACTTGGCTATCTTGTCCACAAAGCGCATGATCTTGCTGGGCCTGTGGCCTCCCACGTAGCTACGTGAGCAGAGGATGGGAAACGGAGGAGGAGGGGAGGCAAGGAGTGAGTCAGGTTCATTATTTATTCATAACAGCATCTCTTGCTACTCAGCGCCCACGACGGAGGGGAGTGACCGGGTGCTAAGTTAAATCAGCAGCAAGCTTTCCAACGTGTGGGACTGAGTGGGTGGGTGGACTGAAAGGGCAGAACAGTCTGCTTCAACACATCAGTGCAAAGCTGTTTCGGCTCATTTTCAACTCGGATACGTAATGATCGTGTTGAAAAGAGACATTCGCTCACCCCTCGGCTCCAGGAAGAATGGCTTTGTCACTGAGGAGTTCTGGGGGGTCCTCCTCATCCGACGAGCCGGCACTAGACGACTCCTCATCGCTGTCTGCCAGACAGTATGTACGTGGCCTGGGCCTGTCACACACACACACACACACACACACACACACACACACACAGGCTGTAATGGCTTTGCACAGAACTATTAACAGTTAAAAGCCAATTCCCATTAAATGCATCCCGAGTGAATTAAATCACAGGAAATTAATCTCAAATGATTCACTCAAGAAAGGAAACTATAATCCAGAGCTATGGGCATATACTCCCAAACTCACCAGCCATTGGACAAATCCACAGTGGTATGCGTCCAGAGAGAGGATTGGTATATCAAGAGAAGGGAGGAAAAGAGGAAATCATGAAAAAGCAGATCTGACTCCTAATAAATGCAAATCTACTCAATTAACTTCCAGCTCAGAACTGTCAAAAACCTAATCCTTCAATCATCCTATTTTGGCCTATAGTCACTGAGAATGTATTATAAGACAATGACAAAAACAACCACAAACAACCACTCTGTAAGATATGTTAGAATCAGCTTCATTACTAAATGTGACTGAGAGCCTCACCCCTCTTTCCCGTGCTCCCCGAGCCCCTCGCCCTCCTTCCCCAGACGGGCCAGGTTCATCTTGGTCTCCAGCGTCATGAGGAAGGAGCCCGTGTAGGAGACCTCCAGATCAAACCACAGACCTGGAAGAGACAGTGAGGGAAACCACACAGACATATTATGTTTCAATATTAAAATCACTTTTACATCCCCAACAACACCACAGCGGCATCAAAAGTGACCAACTCTAAATGCTATTTCTGTGAAGAAACAAGAACCTCCTGCCTGGTGTCTAATTGCTGTGAGATCCCCTGCAGAGCTGCCAGGAGGAAGTCCTGTCCTCTAGCAGATACTGGAAAGATCAGCCCCGGGGCAGCGGTGCCTCCTTATTGGCTTACTGTATCAGGCTACTTCCTGTTTACACATTACACTTCTCAGGAGGCGACGGGAGAACCATTTAGATTCATATCCCCCTGCTGTTTACTCAATGAGTCTGAACGTCAAGTACTGATAAGTGTTGTTTATTATTCCTCTGCCTCGCTCCTTCCTCCTCTTCATTTCCCCCATAAATGCTCATTGATCTGCACGAGTGTGGCAGCAGAGTCTCAGAGAGAAGCTAAATGACAACATTAAGTCAGAGCATGTTGGATACTGTCTTCGTTGTCTCTGTCTAGAACGAGACACACAGGAGGGAGACAGTGTCTGGAGTGCCTAATTCATTTCACACTGTACCTGAACCGCAGACCAAACCATGTGTGTGCTTCGACATCAAACGTGGAAATAGATCACTGTAACAGCAATAATATATATGAGACAAGATATGGCATTGAATCTAAGTTATTGCAATTCATAGCTGATCTATTGGATGGACTGCCATACAATTACGTACAGACATCTATGATCCCAAGAGGATGCAACCTACTGACTTTGGTAAACACCCATATTTTCCTGCAGCACCACCGTAGTTGACATTTTCTTTCCATTTACTTCTTTACGACTGCTGGATCAGAAACACATTTGGCACCTCAACTTTTAACTATTTCCGTTTTTAGTTTTTTTATACAATGAGCATCACAGTTTCACAGAGCCATATCACCAAACCCTATATAAATAAAACGAGATATTTAATTACATCAGTAAGGCCAAGCTCTACACAAGCTTGTGTGCATTTAGTTGGTCTTGGAGCAGAGTGAGTGAGTCAGGAATCACTCACGCACTCTCCTTCTTATCATCATCACAAGAGAAAATAAATACCAACAGGATATGAAATTAGGAATGTTACCATCGAAGCAAATGCATCCTGTTCCGTTTCATGCGGGTTTACAGCGCAGCACTTCTAGAGATGGACTAATTATGTGCGGGGATCAACTGATTATGCTTTGTGAGTATACTTCTGTGGGTGTATATGTTCAGACAGAACACATTAATGGGCATTGCAGACTCAGCCGTGGAAATGTGGCTGACAAGAGAATGACTCATGACTGGCTGGTTCAACTGAACAGTAAAACATATCTTTACACGGAAGATCAAACAGTCATTGGACAAACCCTGATCATTTCAAACCTATGCATTACATACCCCCTCCTGTGTTCTGCTCTCTGCTAAAGCACCACTAATGATTGAAACACAACACCAACAACATCATCCCTTCTTTTCCCCATCTTAAGCTCCTCTTTTCTCATTTTCTCCCCAATCCTGCCACCTCGGTAGGAATTAATATGCCTCACATCTCTGTATTGTCTCTGGATTTCCAACCAATCCCTTTGCTAGGGTTCAAGGCAGTTGGTCAGGGTCAGTCAGTGTCTCAGTAATGGATGGGGGGGACCCAAGACGTGAAGTTTAATTACTGGGGCTTAATAGAGCGAGGCACGCAGAGGGGCTCGGCTCCAGAGGAGAGCTAGGGAGAGCAGGTCGGAGGAAAGGAGGAACGTCTTAATCCAGAGAGAAGTGGAGCAAAGCTAAGGGAAGATGGAGGAACGGTTGGAGAGGGAGGTGAAGCAGATAGATAGATTGGGGGGGGGGGGTGAGAGCATGTCTCACAATTCTGTCGCAAAGGCAAGAGGGAGAACTGATAAACGGCCTGGGTTATGATAAAGGATGGAGGATAGTAGAGGAAGAGGAAGAAGATTGATGGCAGGCAAGTAAGAAAATCTGAGACCACTGCTGCATGGAAAACACAAAATTCTCTTCCTACCTTGGTGGTCCACAGAGGGTTTGGAGGCATGGAGGATCTTAGGGATGGAAAAGCCCATGTCGAGCTCTGTCAAAGTCAGCTCGTTCATAACATATGGCAGCTGAAACACAAAAGACAGTTCAAAAAAACATTTTGACTTCACAGCTAAGACACAAAACAGACATTAAAACACAACCATAAGAGACACAAAAACATTTCTGACAGTAGATGTATGTTTGTGCACGCTAGCACCAGTACCCACCCTGATCTTACTGAGCTTCATCTGGATCTTTTTGGAGACTACATTGGCCCAGTATTTCTCTCCCAGGAAGTCCCAGAACATCCTTCCCACAAAAGCGTTGACCCAGGCCTCAGGCTCCACAGGCTCCACAGGCTCCACAGGCTCCACAGGCTCCTCGGAAGTCCTGCGTACCTGAAGGATCCACATACAGGTATGTACTGTAGCTTTAACCTTCTTAACATAAAGTTAAGCTAAAAGGTTCAGGTCAAGTAAAATAACAGTCTATATAAGGAGTGCGTTGATATCTGGATTTGTTTTCCGGATGAGAAAAAGAATGCATGTTAATGCAGTGTAAATGCAATCCAATCCAACGTCAAAGAAAAAAAATTCACCAGAGAGTTGCCTGGTCTAAATCCGTCTCTTCCTGCTACCTTAACCAAGCCTGCCAAAAGTAATAGTAGTAGCTAATATACAGTATGATGAAATGAATGAGGCGCGTCCATGGCATTGCTTTCTTTGACCTGAGACGTGCCAGGCCGTGTCACAATCCAGATAATGTATCCAGCTACAGATCAAGTGTTGAAACAAGGGGCTTACTTTTGCGCGCAACCACCATCAACTGTCAACTGTCAAATCAGCAGGAGATAAACAACACGAGGCCCACTCGAAAAACATTGCTCCATAGCACTACTAGTGGTCAAAAACTCAACAGGGTACCTTTAGGGGAAATACAGATAATTGCTATTATTCTACTAACAAATCTACAATTACTAATATCTACAAATTATCTATGACCAAGTGACATGACCAGGAGTCTCAAAAGACTAGTCCACCTGGTTGTTGCCTATTTCTTTCCAGCCTTGCGTCTGTCTGTCTCCTACCTTTTTTGTAGCTTTGGGGCTGCTCTCGGGGCTTTGGGGACCAGGGCTGTCGGTGGCAGTCGGGCTTCTCTGTGTTGCCTGGGGGTTGATATATTTGGCCATGTAGACATTATAGTCCAACAGCATCTTCTGCTTCATCCCTCCAGCGGAGCCACAGGAGGTCTCTCTGTGGCGAGACTGAGACAGCTCCTCCAGGCTTCCCCGGCTACTGCTCCTGCTGTCAGCCTCCAGGCCTCCGCCAGATTGGGTGCTGCTATTGCGGCTGTAGGAGGACAAGAAGGCTAAAAGTGGAGGGGGGGGGGGTGCAGGATGTGATGAGTAAGAAGAGGTTAATACGATACAATTATGCATCACCAACATTTTCAGGGATACAAATCAATGCATCACATTCCACATACATAACGCATGCTCAAGTCCTTGGATAGTGTGCGTCTATTTTCAATACAGCATGATGTACTACTCTGAATCAGCATGCTTTACACCAGATGACACCGCATCTTCTCTCTGACTCATATTAGCACTGAAATAGTCATTTTCAACATAATTGCTATGTATATCCACAAAACAGGCTTGATATTTAAATCATCTTTCCAGTAATCCTGTTCACCCTGCACTGCCTTTTATCACTAGACCCTGTTTCCCTTTGAATTGGGCCTTATCCTTACAGGCTTATATCCCCACAGTGGAGACCAATGGTGTAATATGCTGCTTCTCTGTGCATGTAATCCTGCTGACCCATTCACACTCATCTGTTCGCTAGTTGAGGGGATTGTCAGTCCCTAAGCCGGGGGCTTATGCACAGATCTGATGGCTGTGCAGTTACATACTCAAGAGAATGGCTGTTCTGTACTGTTGGAAGTGTCGGTGCAAATACAGTGTGTGGAAAGGGTGCTAGAGACAGATAAACTCACATACTGTGCATGGCTGTGTGTGTGATACTGCACATAGCTCAGTGTCAAACTCACCACTCTTGCAGATGCCAGGCAGACTTCCACCTCTCCCCTCTGACTTCGTTCGGGACGCCAGGAGAAATCTCCGGAACCACTCTTCCTTTTCCCGCCCCGTCCTCCCAAACAAGTAGATTGTCAGATCCCCCCCTCCAGAGGTTGGCCCTTTGGGTTCCTCTGCCGATCCCGATACCTCAACCTTCTCGCATTTGTCCGTTCGTTCCAGCTTCTCACACAGGCCCGTTAATTTCTCCTCGCCAGCTTCGGGCTTCTCTCCCTGGGCCTTAGACATGAAGTCCTCCTGCTTGGCCAGCTCAATGCAAATGGGGTACTTTTTGTTCCAAACTCTCTTCCTAGCCAGGCTTTGGGGCACCAGGTTGATCTATGGGGGCCATATAGATTGAGATCACACAATCAGACGCATGAATGTTTGGACTGCGGAGGAGTAACGCTCTGGTAGCGCTAGCGACTTGTCAATCACAAGGTAGCCCCACCCATGCATACCCCGCTTTATCGTCTATTCTACTCTAAAAGGGACCATCATTTACTAAATGAACATCATGCTGTATTGAAGACTTGAAACTAGCGATGGAGAACATAAACTCATGTTTACAATGTTTACTGAGGTAATAAATCAAGTGAGAAGTAGCGTAAGTAGCATTCAGGAGTCGGCCCCTTATTAGAAAGAATGCAAGTTTAAGGCACTTCAGCATTGGCTTCACTTTTCAGAGCCGGAGGCAGCCTGGGTGTAGCCATGTGTTTTTATAGTATGGGGGAGGTATCGTGGCTCAGAATGGTTTAATCAATAAGACCTTGACTCTAAGTGGACAAATGCATGTTTGAGGACACTATTAAAAGAAATGCAGCTTCTATAAATGCAGGTAACATTCAAGAGACTAAACATCCACAATAATGATGCAGGAATGAGACTTTGGGGAGCCATTCAGTTCCGAGAGAAGCGTAGCTGCATGGTGAGGACAGCCATAACGACTCCTTTGCTCCACGATATGAGAAACGTCTTTTTACTGCCCTGCCTTCAGAAATACAAAAACCATCGAGTCAGCACACTGCTACACGAGACGCAAAGTTGTGTGTACAGGGTCAGTGACCTGTGATATTCACTCTATGTTTACACACAACTGTGTGACACTGAAAATGAGTAGCTTTGTCACTGAACTTGACCTATTAGCAAACATGCACTCAGGCAAAGGCAAATGTGAGGGGACGTGTGCTTGCTGTCACTATCTGTTAGGCACATCATCGAATATATTTCTCCCCTCACACACACACACGCACACACACACACACACACATTTCAGCTTCTCTCTTGCATTTGTCATTAGCCACATACACCCACAACCAGCGCACCTTGCTGTCCGTGAGGTCATAGATCTTCTGGCTGATGTAGGTGACGTCAGGTTTTGGCTCGTTGTGCGTGGCACGGCGGGAGATGTTCCGGTTGGGCTTGGACAGACGCAGGACGGAGCCCTCTAGACGGACGTAAACGGAGTGGGTCAGGGTGGCGTGGTACATCTCCGGGTCGTAACTGTGGATCTCATTCATCCAGCCCTGAGAGATCGAAGGTGGTGGGGGAGAGGGGAGGAGTGTTAATTGACAGCGACTCACGGCAAATACACACACATCAGACTCCCAGCCAAACACAGAAGATTCTGCGGTACACGTCCTCTCACTAGTTGAGCTTCCATGTGGTTTCTGGAGAATTGATATTGTATAATGTTTACCCATGCACTCAAGTTTTATGTTTGAACTTTGCTCTGCCAAATGTTTATTGTGCATATGTTGTCTGAGGGATGACAGA